CAGGAGAATAAAGAGGATATTATGCTTAGATACCTTGAGAGTGAATGTTTTTAAAAAAACCTCCAATAATGGCTAATCGACTAATCCTTGTTATAATTAGGAGGGCCCAGAGGATAAGGGGTGCTCTGGTTTCCCAAGCTCTGTTTTGAAGGGTTAGGAAACAGGAAGGGACTTAGGAGGCCCAGAAACTACCCAGTGCCTTTATATCAGCCGATTCCAAAGAAAAGTCAGAAGCAAAAGGTCTGTGGGCCATGCCCCTTCAGTGCATATACATATTTCCTGAAAAGTAGGAATTTCGTTACAAATAGCAACATTTTTTTCTGGTCAAATTTGTGGAATATAAAAAAAGTGTGCAGTTCCCAACTGTATGGCTTGATGAGTTTTCATAAACTGAAGCCACCTTTGTGAGCGGCCCCCAGAGCCCCCCCACCCCCCCACTGGGGCTCTCCCGGCCACCAGGCCACCTCCCAGCCATAACCCTCATGGACTGGTTTTATCAAAAAATGTTTTGGGCTTTGATTCCAAGCTCTCAGCTTCAAATGCGTGTCCCTGCCTCTCCCCGCTCCCCCACCAGTCCCAGGGCCCCAACAGGTGTCTATGGCCTGGACGGACTGTGGCTCCTCGTGTCCCCCACACAGGGACTTCTGCCGATGGTTACCAGGCAAAGATACAGGCCTGGTGTGGGCACAGAATCTGATATTATGAAAGAATCTAGAAATCTAGATTTTTGTATGAAATCTCCTGATTATGGAATGTTGGTAACTCACGACAATGTAACACACAATGGAAGCAAGCCCAAGCAGACCAAACAAGGCACACTCATGGGCCAAACTTGGCCTTCAGACTGTCAGTGGGGGGGACCTCGAGGGGCCCCCAGGCCTGCCGGGGAGACAGGCGTGGACATAGGCCTCGCAGCTCTGAGAAGGGCTGGGCAAGGCCAGGGAAGCCTCTGCAATGGAGTGATGTTGAAACAGCCCTTGGAAGGACAGCTGAGAGAAGGAGAGCAAGGGTGCTCCGGCAGAGGGAGGCAGGGATCCAAGGTCATGGTCTGAGGACCGGATGGTTAGACCAGCCAAGTGGTTTGGTGTCTGTGGCAGTGGGAGGAGCAAGCTAAGGGGCAGGCCGGAGCCCATCTCGAAGGATCTGGAACAGCGTTTAGGCTTTGTCCGGGGGCAGGCTATGGGGAAAGGAGGTTAAGGCGAGGGGCTGTGCTCATCGCTGTAGGAGCAAGTACAGGGGAGGGAGCTAGACGGGGCTGGCTGGGGGGCAGCAGGGAAACGGGAGGTCTTGACCTATGGCGGTGGCTCAAGAGAGAGGAACCAGGGGCTTGGGCCCACATTTCAGGCCCCCTAAACAAATCCCACCCCCACTCACTCCTGACAAAGAGTCTCCTTGACCAGAGCAGGGTCAGGACACTCCGAGCCCTCTTCCTAACCTAACCCTGAACTTGGGCTCCGTCCTTGGCAGCTTAGTCTCATTTTAGCCAGAATCCCACTGGGTGGGTTCAGCAAGAATCCTTCACCCTTGAAACCCACTCAGTTTCCTCATCCCCACCCTGGACATCTTCTCCCCCGGAGCTGCCAGTGAGAGTCCTGCCAATGCCGTTCAGCGGGACTCCTTCCAGCTGCGATGTTTTCTCTCTCTCTCTCTCTCTTTTTTTTTTTTTTTTTTTAAGATTTTACTTATTTATTTGACAGACAGAGATCACAAGCAGGCAGAGAGGCAGGCAGAGAGAGGGGGAAGGGAAGCAGGTTCCCTGCTGAGCAGAGAGCCCGATGCAGGGCTCAAACCCAGGACCCTGGGATCATGAGCTGAGCAGAAGGCAGAGGCTTTAACCCACTGAGCCACCCAGGCGCCCCACGATGTTTTCTCTTAATGATGTCCCACCATCGCCCCCTGCCCTGCCCCTCCGCTATAGCTCCCCTCTTTTCCTTGTGTTCAGAGTTGAGCCCCATCTCTCTCCCCTCAGGGCAACACCCCATTGCTATTTTCCTTACCCCTGGCCACCCCCGAGGTGATTTCACCTGCTAGTGATGATTTGAAAACACCCATCCTCTCCAAGGGGCAGCCTAAGGAGTTTGTCTTTGTTTCAAACTTCCCCACAGCTTGAGTCCGAGGTCTGGTGTGGAATCAGCCAGAATTTCTGATCTTCCCTGTGTGGTCCTGGATCGACTTCTCCCAAGGCCTTCTGTCTCAGCCAATGGCAACTCTGTCCTTGGAGAAGCTCTAGCAAAATGCCCCAGGGTTGTCTTCACACCCTCTGTTCCATCCTGAAGCAACTCTTGCTGGACCTGCTTTTGAAACAGACCCAGAACCTCCACTGCTTTTGTCATCACCCTGGGCTGAGCTCCTACCTAGCCTTACCTTGCCTGGAGTTACTCACTGGTCACTGGCTGGTACCCTTCTTCACCCAGCAGCCAGAGAGGTCCTGTTATACCCTAAGTCAAATCATGTCTCCCCTCTGCTCAGAGCTGCTTGAAGTTTTCACCTTACTTCGGGTAAATGCCACTGTCTTCGTAAGGGTCTACGCGGGCCTTGATCTCTCACCTTCACCTCCTCACCTCTGTACCCTTGTTTTCTGCTATTCTCCTCGCTGCCCGCTTAGCTCCAGCCACACTGCTCTCAGAGTTATTGCTCTACCTCAGGGCCTTTACACTGGGTACTCCCTCTTCCTGGAACTTCCTTTCTCCAGGATGTCCCTATGGCTTGCTTCCACCCTCCTTCAAGCCTTTGCTCCAATGTCATCTTCTCAGTGAGCTCTCCTTGAAATCCTGCTTTAAAATTCCAACCCGCTCTCCTCACTTCTATCCCTGCCCCCTGCTTTATTTCTGCCCTTGGCCTTTAACACTTGCACACCTTACATCATAGGTATTAACGTTTGTGTTCTCTTTTCTCCCCGGTTCTGAGCATCTAGTGGGAGCTCAATGAGTGGAAGGATATATCAACCCCCCTCTGTGCTTCCTCAGGGTATTTCTGAAGACGGTGTGATCCCTGAGTCATATTTTGGTTGGGATCTGCTGGCTTCGAATGCCCAGGGCAGAGTTCCCAGCCTGAAGGTCACCAGGTCCTGCCCACATGTCCATTGTCGCAAGTCTCCATCTGAGGGATTGATTTTCAGAAGTGTACAGACACTCTGTGATGAATATTACACAGCTATTTAAAAGTGACACTGAAGTCCTTGCAAGTTTTTGTCCATGATGTATTTTCTCTGTCCAGCCATCCCCTCAACTCCATGATTATCCCATGGAGGTCCTCCTTCTCAAAATAGTTGGGAAGGCCTTGCATAGGGCCAGAAAAGGGATCTAATGAACGAATCTGGAGACCCCGGCCATCCTTCATCAGAGATCCTGCCAGGGACACTGCCCACAATTGTTGCCACCCGCCAGCTGACCATGAGCACAGGTTCACCCACCAGAATAAGGCAATTCATACTCTGTTAACCTTGAATTCTGCCAGCCCTGCCATCCCATAAGCTGGGGGTTGTTGGAGCAGCTCTCAGCTTGGGCAGAATTCAAATGAGCGCTTGTAATCAACATAAAATTAATTGTCATAAGCCCTGGGCATCTCGGCCCCATGCACTGCTGGTGAGAAGGGAGTTCAGGTCATCTCAGTACAAGGTGGGGCTGGGAGTGCTCCCTGTTGGGCAATACCGCTTTGCACTAGAGATCCCGAAAAGGTCTGTGCAGATTTGGTCCACTGATCTTGGTTCAGATGTTAATCATAGTGGCTGGCATTTTACTGATCACCTACTATGTGCCAAATGCTTTTACAAGCAGGATCTCATTACAATACCTCCTGATTACACCTCCCCCCCCCCGCCTTTTTTTATAGATAGACACTTGCGGCTCCCAGAGGTTAAGTGACACGTTCAAAGCCTCCACCTGGTCAAACCCCAGAACTGCCTGACCCCAAAGTCGGTATTCTTGACCATTCTGTCCCCAGCCCAATATGGAAGCATCCGGGCAGATGGTGTCTACAGGACACCCCTACCTAGCAGCTACAACGTTGTGTCCAGACCTCATTGGGTGGTGTTGCCCTGGATCTCAAGCGGGGATGGCCCGCAGGAGAAAACTTATTTTGTCATACACAACATCCTGTGTGGGGCACTTCTTGCCACCTTTGCTGCTGTTCCATGCTGGAATAGAGACCACACGTGACCGTAGCTTTCACCTGCCAGACAAGCCCTTCCTTTTGGTTTACACAGTCTAAGTCCCCCTGGGTGACTCCCAGAGAAAGCACAAACCCCAAAGATTCTACAACCCTGCATTCCTGGCGGGGGGACACCCCATCGGATGGGTCCTGCGAGTCCAGGTCCCGCAGAAGGCAACCCTTTCAGCTGAGCCTGAAGCTCCCTGGCTACGGGAAGCCCAGGAAACTTTGCAGTCCTGACCCTTTGGGACTCCTTCCTAGTGCTTCCTCCCGCCGGTCCTTGTCCCTCTTGGGGAGCCCAGTACTCTCTACTGAGTAGGATGCCCCCTCCTGGCCAGGTCTGTGGCCTCTCCCGCGCCCTCCCGCCCCCCGCAGGGATCCTCTTTCTCTGAGACGGCGCCTTGTCCGGCGTTTTCCACGCTTCTTAGCCCCTCCAATCCGGTGCGTGGCTCCTCAGAGGCGTCCCTTCTCTCCGGGTCCCCCGCCCGCGCCCGGCGTGGGGCGCCCCCTCTCCCTGCTTAGGGCGGGCGCCGGAACAGTGTCGCCGGCCGCCTGCAGGTGTCTCCCCACGGAGGGGCGCGCGTCCCTGCGCCTTGGCCGCTGCCAGGCGCCAGCGGCTCCTCGCCGAGGTGCACTCGCGCTCCGGGCTCCGGGCGCGCCGGAGCCGCTCCGCCGCTGCCTCCCGCCCCCCGCGCCCCCCGCTCTCCCCGCGCCGCGCCCTCACCCCCGGGGGGGGGGGGCATGGGCCCGCGTCGCGTCCGCCGCCGCCGAACGCAGGCGCCCGAGCCCCGGGGCGCGGCGGACAGCGGCCGCTGACGCGGGGCGCCGGCTGCCAACTTCGCGCGCGGAGCTCCCCCGGCGGCGCGGTCCCGGCGGCGCGGGCGGCATGAAGACGAGCCGCCGCGGCCGAGCGCTCCTGGCCGTGGCCCTGAACCTGCTGGCGCTGCTCTTCGCCACCACCGCCTTCCTCACCACGCACTGGTGCCAGGGCACGCAGCGGGTCCCCAAGCCCGGCTGCGGCCAGGGCGGGCGCGCCAACTGCCCCAACTCGGGCGCCAACGCCACGACCAACGGCACCGCCGCCCCCGCCACGGCCGCCGCCGCCGCCGCGGGGAACGGCCCCCCTGGCGGCGCGCTCTACAGCTGGGAGACGGGCGACGACCGCTTCCTCTTCAGGAATTTCCACACCGGCATCTGGTACTCGTGCGAGGAGGAGCTCGGCGGGCTCGGTGAGTGAGCGGCGGCGCCGGCGGCTCGGCGCCCCGCTAACCTCCCCCCACCCCGCACCAAGCTCCCGGCGGCGCGGCCCCCGCGGCCCGAGCCCCGGCCCCGCGCTACCTCCCCGCACCCGGCCGAGGAGCCCCGCGCTCCGCAGGGCTCGGCCGCACGCCCGGGGGCGGGGAGCGCGCGGGAGCCGGCCGGGGGAGAGTCGGGGGCGGCCGGGACGCGCCGCTGTGCCGGGGCTCCGGGCAGAGCTGCTTCCTTTCCCGAGCTCCCGGCGCCTTTGGGGACGTCGCCGCGCCCCGGGGAGGCGCGTCTCCCGGGCATCCAGCCCAGCGGCCGGTCGGCGGGGCGCGCGCTCCTTTCCGCGCCAGAACTCGTCTCTGGGCTCGCCCCCTCCCCCGCCTTCGTTCGCGGGGCACCGGCTCCCCCTTCCCGGCCCGTCCCGCCTGGGGGCGGTCGCACCGACTGCTGCTTCGGGTACCCCCCACCCCCCACCCCACAGGTCCGCGGAGCCTGGGGTGGTTGTCGTTCTCCTAGTCGGGGCTGGGGCCGCACGAGAGTCGGGGTGGGGGGAGGTCGGTGGGTTCCCAGAGGGGAGCCCTTCGTGTCCTGGTCCCCGCCCGGGAGAGGATGCAGCGGGCGGTGGGCGAGGCGGCGGGAAAGCGGGATGGCTCGGCTCAGCTCGGCTCAAAATTGGTGGTGGTGATGGTGGTGGCGGTGGGAGGGTGACTTTTCAGAAGGCAGATGAGACTGTTCCCATGGCCTCGCTCCTCTTCCCTGCCCGCCCCGGGGCAGGCAGTGAGGCCCTGGGGTGGGTGCTGGGCCACACCATCTCCCAGACCTTGTGGTGTTCTAGGTCGGGGCGTGGGGACCCTCTTGAGTGAACTGACCTCTCTCACCAAGGTTAAGAGTCTGTGCTTGCCCAGCTCTCCCATGCGCTCCAGCGGGGTTTATGTGTGTACTCCGATGTGGATGGGGGTGGGTGAAAATGGAGTTTGTTTAGAATAAGCCATTGACCTGACTTGTTTGTCTAAAGGATAGAGAGACAAGAAGGCGTAAAATTAACCCAAGGAGGCCTGGGGAGTAGGTTCCCTAACTTTGTCCCTTGTCACCATCTTTATCTCCACCATTCTTGGCGCAACCTGAGATTTTCTGGAGCCTGCCTGTGGTCACTAGTTTCTTGTCCTCCATGTCCACAGGATGTCCCTGTGAGGGCAGGGCCTGGGGCCTCCTGGTTCATGGGCATCCCCAGCTGCTGGGTAATGTCTCGCGGATAGGAGGTCATCAGTACTTTTTTGCGGGATTCATGTTGAATGAGGGCCTGGGATGATAAACCAGGGGTTTCATGGGGTGATGTCCGCACTGCCTTGCCCCTGGAGGTGCCCCGCTGAACTTTTCTCTCCACACCTGTGTGTTGCTAGCTGTTTCCCAGACACCTGCCGTTTGAATAGGGTTAAACCTCGGAACTGGTCTCGCCCCATCAGACTCCCTTCTGATGTGCACTCAGAACTCAAGTCTTTACTCTGGGATGCAGTTAAAAAAAAAAATTGAAACTCAAAACGTATCTTGGCCAAAATTTTCGGCTTTCCACTCAGTCTGACCATGACCTTTTCCACAGAAGCCTCGTAACGTCTTATCCTGGGGGACATCTGCACTTCTTGGGGTAGAGGTCCCCACACATCACCTCCACTTGTCACCGAGTTTCCCCTTTGCGTAGAAGCGCAGCCTCCCTGTCCGTCCTTTGCTTACAGACTTAAAAGCACAAGGCTGCGTCTCTGGATTGGTGGGGTCCCTGACTCCAGGGGTGTCCCTGCCCCCCGATGGCTGGCTGAGCGTCTTCACTGAGGTCTCTCCTGGCTTCTCCCTGAAGGTCACGGCCCACCTCTTGCAGTGTGTGGAACACTCAGCCAGGGCTTGACATGGGATATTTAAGCCCAAGAAGTTTTCATAAAAATTATTAATTGAAAAACATTTAAAGCAATGTTAGCTTCCATTTATGGAGAATTTAAGGCACACCAGGCGCTGCGAGAATGTCTCACCTGCCAGATCTGGCTGACTCCTTGCCAACACCTCCGTGCCTGGCACTCACTCCAAGGGTGCCTACTTATCAGATGAGGAATTGGGGGTTCAGAGAGGTTTTCGTCCAGGCATCCCAGCTGGTGAGGGGGCCCCGATTATCTTCAGTGACAGAAGGGGATCAGGGTGAAGTGAATGATGGATGCTATTGGGGGGATCCGGGATGGGCACCATTTTGGGGGGGGTGCTCTCTGCCACAGACCCTCCTCCCCAGTCCTCCGTTTGTAAAAACGCGGGTGGTTCGTTTGTTGGGTAAATAAAACAAACCCACGGTTTCCCCTTTTCTCTTCCTCGCCGTTGGCTAGAGATCGCCCCTCCCAGAAAATCACAATTTTCCTCCCGGAGCGCTCGGAAAATAGTTATCAGCCTGTCAGAGCCGGTGAGGAATTTGGGAGGTCTGAGCCAGCTTGGATGGTTTCCCTGGCTGATCCCGCGATGCCCAAATCCTGTCTCGCCCCCTCTGTGGTCCTGAAAGGATGTCAGAAGTACCTGGCCTCAAACTTTTGTTGCTATGGCAACCTTTCTTCTGCGTTCCGTGACCATTTTTTAATTTATTTTTTACTTGAAGAGGGGGAAAAACTGCCCCAGCGCCCCTCTGCCCCCTACGAAATCCTGCTCTCCTCTCTCCCCACTCCCTGAGACCTCAAGGGCCATGTTCTGTCCCTCCCGGCCAAACTACAGGGAAGGCTTTCTCTGCTTCCCAACATTTGACGTTCACCCCAGTGAAAACGCCAGCCACGAAACCCTGACCTCTCCGGGAGAAGCAGTGCTTGCTAACTGCTCCTTCCTCTCCAATGCTTGTTCGGCAATTTCTTTCTGTGCCCAGAAGAGCCTCTCCCCACTCTGGGCAGCCACGGGGAAATCTAATAAGCCCTTTTACCCACATGAAAAAATCTACAGCGTTCACCAAGGAAAACTGCAGCTTGTCCTAAACAGACACAATTTCACCAGACCGGGCACAAAGAAAGCTCTTCTCTTTCCTCTAAGAAGGAGCATCAGCCTCCTTCAACAAACAGAAAGGGAATGTGGCCTTGACACAGAATTACCCCAAGCCCTTCACGCAAATTGGATTTCTCCCCTGGATTAGATGCTCAGAAGGGCTGGGTGGTCGCCTGTTGTTGGCATTCTGCGGGCAGGGGCAGCAGAGGAAAGGTCTGGAAAAGGAATAGTGAAGGTCTGGGGGTGGGGAGATGGGCTGGTGGGGCGTGGGGTGGTCCTAACTGGGAGTACAGGTGGGGTTGGACTTCATCTCGATTGTGTTTGAACCTGAGTAAGTTGGTGACTCGAGGAGACTGGAGGGGCGGCAAGGGAGGGTCGAGGAGGGCTTGCCAGGATGCCTGGAGGGAGGTGGGACTGAGGCAACCACAGAGAAGGGAGGGACGGGTCAGGGGAAGCGGGAGCACTGTTTCCCCTGGAATGGGTGGAGGGACGCCGCCATTTGTGAAGGATGGCAGCTCCTCGAGTCTCCTGCTGGCAATGTGGTTTGGGCGAGAGCCTCAGTCTGCTCCCCTGTAGAATGGGGGATCCGAGCCGGTGGCACCTGTCGGAGGTGGAAGATGGCCGCAGAGCTATTTCTGGAAACTTCTTCAAGTCAGTGCTAAGCTCTCTCTGACCACCCAGTTCAGAATTGATCTCTCCACACATTTCCTGCTTGCTTTTCCTTCTAGCACTTGCTACGGACTTTACCTCAGCGTTGCTTGTCTGTTTTGTGTATGGCCCGCTGGCTCTGTGAAGGTGGCGGATGAGTTCACCAGCTCTGTTCCCTCCTGCTCCCTTAGCGCTCAGGACACTGGCACATAGTAGGTGCTCAGCAAACACTGGTGGGATGAATATTCGTTGTTGTTAGGAGTGCTGCTCTCTCTTGGGCTCCAAGTGTCTTGCTACCCTGCAGGGAGGCCAACAAGGGACCTCTCCCCTTTCACTGAGGTGCCCACCACACACAACCCCTCCTTTACACACCCCAGTGCTTGTGGGGTGAGGTCATTCTCACTCAGAAAGGAAAAACCCCTAGCTGACCCCTGACCCTTGCCTTTCTTGCTTCCCTTTCTTTTCTACAGAAACCCCCAGATCTTCTGCTTGCTCCCTTAAATCATGCCGCGATCTTTTTCATGAGTATGAGGACAGACATGATGTCCCCACCGAGGAAGCTTCTAGTGCTGGGAGTGTGTCGGTGTAATATCAGACGGGCTTTGTGTTAGGATTGTCGGATGGGTGAAGACTGGGACTTCGAAAGGCGTGGTTCTAGCCCAAGACCAATGTTGTTTTCTTCCATTTCCAGAACAGCTCTCTGACAGCTTAGTGCCCTGGTTCAAGCTCTTTTCTGGGGCACAGAGAGGTGAAGTGACTTGCCCAAGCACACACAGCTACCCAGTGGCAGAGCTGGGATGTGCACCCAAGCAGAAGTTTCCAGAACCTGGTTTTTGCCTGCTATGCGGCATCACACCCCCACCAACCCAATTCGGTCTGGCTCCCCGGGCTCCTCCAGCAGAGGAAGAGCTGTGCAAGGGAGTCATGAGCCCCAGGTTTGAGTCCGGGCTCCAGTGCCAACTTGCCGAGTGACTCTGGCTAAGTCCCATTCCCACTCTGGCCTTTTCTTTCCTCATGCATGGAATGAAGGTTTTCTGTGTGTGTTTTTCTGTCTGGATGATGGAGGCAACAGAGAATCCCACAAGGACCGGTTTTGGGGACAGACAGCCGGGGCCCCAGCCCCCACACCACTGCTCGCCTGCTGTGTGGCTTTGGTTGGAGGCTTGCCCTCTCTGGGCCTCAGTTTCCTTGGCTGGGACACAGGGACCATCAGAGCTGCCTCACCAATCCTGTTGGAGGTAAAGCTGATGGTGTGGGCGCTCCATTGGCACCCAGCAAACACCCAGTAAGAGCTGGGAATAACCCTGTGGCCTGCGGGTCCGCTTGGAACATTCCATCTGTT